GGGTCCCGGGCGCGGCCTTCTCCACCCCAGGGCCGCCTTTGCGGGGAGCCGCCGCCGAGCACTTCCGAGGCGCACCGGAAACGGATGTGACGTGTACCAAGGGAAGCCGCCAGTGCCCGGGAGAAGACGTACTGATATCACGTCACGCCCTTTCCTCCTCCAGCCTATTAGCCGCCGGGTCCGGTGGCCGGTGACGAATGGGGTTTCCTGAGCGCATCGGGCCGGGGCCGCCCCCCACTTCATTGCCACCGGCGGCGGGAAAGGCTCTTAGGCTGTCCGGGGGGCGGCAAAATGAGGGGCTGAGTGGAAAGATCGTCACGCACGCACACGAATGACTCCGCACGTTGCAAGAACGTCAGGCGCACGCACTCTGGTAACGAACAATCCGACTAGTTGCACCAAAGGCGGTGGCGCTTCCGGCCCCGCCCGGCCGTTCCCGCCGGCAAACGCAGCCTCCCTCCCTCCCTTCCCCTGACTGAAATGAGAGCGGGTCCCCCCCACATCTGCTCGCCAGACCGCCTCTCGGGGAGTTTATAAGAAAAAGACGCTTTAAAATCAGCCGCTGCCTGGTCTATCTCAGGACGTGCTCGGCTGCCACCCTCCCCTCAGGATCCACCCACCCGCGGGGGCGCAGGCACTAGCTCCTGGCCCGCGGCGACTGAGAGGCCCCTCCTGAACCGTTCTCTGCAACTTGTCTCCACTATAAAAGTTTCCTGGCAGCAGATCTTTTGTTCCAGTTCCGCCTCCTATTAGTGGACCCAGACACTAAAGTCTAAGCTTTCCAGCTCCTGCAAACCCTGCCAACCAAGCTGGGGCCATAAAGTACAGTCTTCTGAACGGCATGGTTCCCTTGGTCCAACCGATTCTTCACTCTATTAAGGAGGGAGGTGTTTTAAAATGTGCTTTGGAAAAATAGCTTTATTAGACATAAATAGCTCTCAGTTCCTTTACAAACATTGGTAGGCTTTTGTTCTTGATTCAAATGCAAAACTGTTTGGCTGCCAGTGGTGAGTAAAAAAAATAAAAAACCAACAGCCTGTCTCAAGACTTGGCAAGGCAATAGTAGTATCATTAGTAGTAGTATCATTAGCACAGGTGACCAGTTTGGGAGTAGTCCCATTCTCCTGGCCAATGGGGCCAGAGAAAGGGAGAAGGCAGTTTGTTCTACAAGCATTTCCCAGAAAGGTCTACAAAGATCATCAAAAAAAAAAAAATGACAACTCTAACTTCTGGCCAGAGGATAAATACAGTATGAGCACTGGTCTGGCAGAAGTGAGGACCTGGCATACAAAGACGGAGATGCATGAATAGGAGGAGAAATTTCTGGGATTTAAGCTGGATGTCAATCATAACCCTGCGCTTTCAGGGACAGCCCCATGCTCATAATGAAGGATCCAAAAAGCAAGTTAAGGCTACCATCAAAAACACCACACATAAGGATCAGCTAATAATCTCTGTTACATGTTTTATGTCAAAATGGAATATGTAATATTAATAACTTTAGTATTCATTTGTTACAGCTATAATTAAGAGTTACAAATACAAGAGCAAGAGTCTCCAAAATGAAGTAATTTAAAAATGCACCCATTCTTTATCAAATCAGTAAAAGAATAAGGAAGTTATCTTACAGTGGGCAAGCAGCTACACATCCTTAGTTCCAGAAAACAGAAATATAATACAAATCAAAAACAGCTCAGCTATAAATGGCCACCACTATTTTTCATATATTAATTCACCCATAAGACACAGGGAATCAAAATCTAGTAGACTGACTGCATCCACTGAAGAAAATTGTGCCATTTCCCCATTAATAGAAAAAAAAAAGGTCAGCAGTATAACAACTTTCTTCAAAGAAACCATCAGCCATTCATCTTGCGTTCTAGGATGTAGTGATAATACAGTTATACTTGGAGGGCAAGTCTTCCAGGATTTTAAAAAAAAAAAGTTAATTTAATTTCCAACATGCTGCAGGAAGACTTATGTAGCGGGAATCTTTGGCAGTCCAAATTCATCCACCAATACACCATCCTACAAACTCACCCTCAAATACACCATCCTACAAGGGAAATAGAGAAAGACACAGTTTAACAGTCCTCTAGCAACTAACTGCATAATTTTTATATATAGACCTTTAAGATTATGTTAGAGTGGAAACCAATAAAAGCATCAGTATTTTCTGTTGGCCACCCAACCAATTAATATTAATATAGCCCCCAAAAGTAAAAAAACAAAAACAACAAACCAAGAATCAAATGAGATCAATGCTTATACAACTGCTAAGAGTTGTAAATTATCTTTTATTTTAAGATATACATGTAATCTACTAGAAACAATCTAATATAATGCAGTTTATGTCAAATGCTGGTTTAGCTCAAAGCATGCTTAAAGATGTGTGTCAATGTGTGAGTATATTTAAGTATTGCTAAATCAACTCCTGATTTAAGTATATAAGGGGTGTACTTCATGATCTGGGGGGAACGCCTATTCACCAGAGCGTCCCATGGGATGACAAGGTCAAACAGTCACAAACTTCTCCAAGACCATTTCAGGCTGGCCATAAGGAAAAACTTCTTTACAGTTGGAGCCCCCAAGGCCTGAAACAGACTGCCGCCAGAGGTGGTACAAGCACCTTCTCTGGACTCCTTTAAGAGTCAATTGGACATTTATCTTGCTGGGATCCTGTGACCCCAGCTGACTTGCTGCCCCTGGGGCAAGGGGGCTGGACTCGACGATCTTCTGAGGTCCCTTCCAGCCCTAGTGTCTATGAAATCTTGTAACAGACTTGGGTCTTGAGCAGAGTGTATCCCACAATCCTAAATATTCCATATGCACAAATCCTATATCCTGCGTTTGTGCAGCAAGTTAGATTAGATGATCCTTGAAGTTCCTTCCATTCCTACAATTGTACACATCTACTCTACCTCTAAGGCAACAGCTTTAACATTGATGGGAACAACTGAGCAATACAAGTTTTACCGTATGTTCCTTTTGTATTAAGTGACCAAGGAAAAGACTCACCTTGTTTTTCGTGTCAGTAGGAGTGCCTTCTGGGATTGCTGGAACTGATGCAGCTTCATCTAAATAGGAAGTGTCCTCATCAGCCAAAAGTTCATCACCCAATGCATCCAGTTCTGAAATTGATTTGTTAGGTAGGATTAAAAGGAATCTCTTCCACAAGAAAACATGCAAATAAAAAAAGAAACTATCAAAAAGTTGAGAGAAAGGGAAGCTACTCCCGTAGATAAACAATGATCAAAGAATTGACTCAAACATATTGATGCTCCCCATTAAGGCAATGTTCTGCACTATACAAAACACTAGAAGGGAGAGACAAAGTCTATTCTGCTACGTTAATGCTGTTACCAGTGAATTCTATAAAGCCAGTTATTTAAAAGATACATCTATGCAATTTTTCAAAACAGGTGATTAGCAAGTCATTCTTTATTTCAAAGATATGTCAGGGATCAGCAACCTATCACTAACAGCAGATAAAATTAGCACAGCTTGGCCTCTCTCAGACAAGGTGGCAGATGTCAATGACAGCCACTAGTTGGCTAGTTCTCACACAGACATATTTGGCAGGCCAGGTCTGGCCCATGGGTTGTAGGTTACCAAACCCTGACTCATGTCATGTCATCTCTGAAACGGAACACAGTACAACTCTTATCACCATCAGCTCACTAACCTGCCTCCAAGTCATCTTCATCAATCTCTGGTGTCCCATAACTACGGCTAAGTGCTTCCTGGACCTCATTGGCATCTTCCATCATATCTTCTAACTGGTCTTGTATGTCCTGTAGTAGGAACAAAAGTCAAGCTTGTCCTTACCGAACATAATAACTGATTTTACTAAGACTAGCTCTCAGTCATTTCAGAATTTCATTATGGGCCACAGCAGAACAAGCTACAGGCAACCCCCGCTTAACGCAGTTTCGCTTGATGCTGTTTTGTAATAGCGTTCATTTTAAATACATATCTGATTCCACGTAGCGCTCAGCGAGTTTCATTATCATGCTGAGTGCAAGGGCAGAGAGGCACGAGTGCAAGGCCTGGGCTGGTACGTGGCTGAAGTAGCGGTGGTGAGGAGCAGCAAGTGAGTGCGTGGATATGAGCGCTGAGCCAGGGCCCGCAGAGGCCCAGGGCAGGGTGGCAGGAGTGTGGGGCCCAGGCTGGCACATGGTGCCAAAGGAGCTGGCAGAGTAGGGAGAAGCAGCAGCGGCAAGGAGCCCAGGCTGGGCAGGGCCCAGGTTGGCATGTGGCTGAAGCGGCGGTGGTGGCAGCAAGAAGCAGCGGTAACCAATTATATTTATTTACATTAATGCCTATGGGGAAATGGGTTTCGCTTAGCATGGTTCCGCTTAAAGCTCATTTTTTTGGAAACTAATTAAGAGTGCTAAGTGGGGGTTGTCTGTATTTGTTTCCCCAAAAACTTTATGTACAAATCCTCTATTTAGCATAGGAAAACAGCAAAGAACAAGAAAAGAAACATGTTGATGATCCATTTGATGTAACCCGAGGGCCCCTCAAAGTATTGCAAAAAATAATAATGATACAAATTGCACAGGTATTGGAGGAAGGGGAGCTCTACAATAAAATCCATGACAACGCAGAAGTTCACACTTCTCCGGGAATAATTTAAAGTAGGGTTGGGTATTTGACCAACTGAATCGTCTGGTCAATTCACTGGACAAATATTGGTCAAATGTTATGAGAGATTGCCAACAGGTCCAAATAATACATAGAAGAAACACAAATTTCCCATCAAGATGTGTAAAAAACAAATCAAATTTTTGTCAAGAAAATTACAAAAAAAATGTAGATTTTTGTAAAACGGCTATAATCCTTGACCAGTCAAAACAAAATATTCAGTCAATTGACAATATTTGACCAGTCAACTGATCAGCTTGCCAACCCTAATTTAAACCGTTTGTTAAGCTACCTCATACTAAACTTAGCATTAGCTTGCAAAATAGAAGGCCAAGCAACAAAATCTGAGGAAACTTGCCTATGGGTCCTGAAGAAAAGGAACAGTAGGTTATGGTATGCCACAATGAAAATGAAAAGGCATTTCAATGCATGTCCAAGCACTGGACACCTGTGCATATAGAGGAGTGTACTACGTAAACAAGAAGCGTAGAGGATCCTTCTGAAGTATGAATGCCTGCCGAAATTTATCACCAGTTTCTGCTTGCTCCATGACAGTATGCAAGCAGTGGTTCCCAGTAATGGATCTATTATAGATCCCTTTGAGAATTAAGGATGGCTGCATCATCACTCTTTCGCTCTTCTCAATATTCCTTGCCACGACATTACATCTCACCACTAACAAGCTTTCAGACAGAGTGGAGCTAAACTACCAAATAGATGATAAGCTGTTTAACCTCAGCCAACTCCAAACTAAGACCACCCTGACCATAATAATTGAGCTCCAGTATGTTCATGATGTGTAGCATGCGCTCACTGGGAAGCAGACATTCAAACAATCATCAGCATCTTTACCAAGGCATACAAGAATATGAGACTGATGTTTAACATGTGGAAGACTAAGGTCCTTCACCAACCAGCTCCTAATGAACAGTCTCCACCTCTGGTAATCCAGGTCCACGGTAAGACTCTGGAGAACATTGAGTATTTCCTGCACCTTGGAAGCCAGAAGGCTGACATTAACAAACAAATCCAACTTTGCCTCAAATGTGCAAGTGCAGCCTTTGGATGCCTGAAGAAGTGAGTGTTCAAAGATTCAACATCAGAACTGAAAACTTACGGTTTATCAAGCTGTCATGATTCCCTACTTTGCTGTACAGAGCAGAATCATGGACAACATACAGGAGACCTCTAAAGTTGATGGAGAAGTACACAATTAACGCTGCCTGCAGAAGATCCTCCAAATCCAGTGGGAAGAGACACACACCAACATTAGCGTCCTCCTCTGCCAGCAAACACCGTGAGTACTGAAGCAACAATCATCCAACATCAACTTTGTTGGGCCGCCCATGTCATTTGGATGTCCGACTCCAGACTCCTGAAGCAAGTTTTATTCCCCCAGCTCAGCAAAGGCATACGCTCAAGGAGGCAAAGACAGTGCTTCAGGGATGTCGTCAAGGCCAATTTAAAAATATGCAACATCAATGTCAACTAATGGGAGACAATTGCCCAGGGCCACCCCAAATGAAGGAAGAGTTTGCTGCAGCAGGGATCTCAGTACTTGGAAACCTCACAACAATGGGAGATGGAAAAGCACGAGTGGCAGACAGCGCGTCTCAGATCAAATAAAAAATCCAGAGCCACCCATCCCACATGGAAATACATGTCCGAGCTGCAGTAGAGTCTGTCGATCTCTGATAGGCCTCATCAGCCATCTTCGGACACACAGATAAGATAATCAAATCATGGAAGACAATCATCCTCGACTATGAAGGATTGTGGAAGAATAAGATGTAAACAATATACAAAGAGAAGTTTAGCACTACAGTTTAGAATATTTTCTTCCTTCCTTTCTTTTTTAAAGCCATGTTATTTATCAAAACATTTCTGAGGGAAAACTGAGGCTATGTGCACCTGCTGAGAGTATGTTTTCAGTATGTGCCAGGAGAAGCCAGGGTATCAGGCAGGAGGATGGATTCACATTATAAAAAAATATGGAAGAACAAGACAAGTGGAATGCAGGCAACCAGGGAAGATCACCATCAAGCATGGGTGAGAGAGAAAGACTAGAGCAGCGAGGTAACACAATCTGATGCAATTTAAAGGCAAGAGTTGGTTGTACAATAACAGAGGAACTACAAATCCAGAGGGTAAAGGTAAGCAAAATGCATAACACATAGTTCCATCTTTAAGAAAAACTGTTGGTCAGCTCAATTATTGCTGAAGCAATAAGCTAGGCACTGCTTAGTTCTGTATTATGGTGACTGTTAGCACATTTCCTCTGGACAGTTTAGTAATACACAAGCCAAAAGCTCACCTCAATCTGATCAATTTTGACTTGCTTGTAAGCCTTCTTCATTTCTTTCACCCCCAGTTTCATAGCATCAACCTAAAAGGGAGAGTGAAACAAAATGGTTTTTACTGCAGCATGCATGAAATAAAGCAAACTTAAGATAAACATGATGATATGATACCGTTGTCTTTGTATCCTTCAGTGATTGGATGGTGTAGTTAGCCTGTTCCATGTTAAAAGACTGCTGTGCCAGATTATCCCTCTGTTGCTCATACCTGTTAAAAATATTACAAAAAAAAATCATATTTATAGCAATACAATGGACCGGAAGTAAGCAGTCTTAACTGGGGAGGGGACACAACCCACAAACAAGATATTTGAAGCAGGACACAAAAAATTGAAGGCCTTCACAAAAAAGGAAAAACTAATGTTCAATTATACAGGTTTTTTAATTTTGTTACACAACCTACTGAAACTTTGTCTATTGGATTGCTACTAGACAAAGTTATTCTGCATGCAGGATTAAGCTTTCACCATGCTAATCAGTGCATTAACCCCTGTTAATCAGTGTTTAAATAGGGTGATCATACATCTAGGTTTGGCTGGGACACTCCCAGATTCCTTAGGCTGGTCCTGGCTGGTTGGTCAAAAGTTCTGCATCGGAGCCCAGCATGAAGGTGGAGTGTCATGGTGTGCCAGGCAGGCACCACTGCTGCTGTGCAGGGACAAGGATGCGCTACATGAGGGTGCATGGCACCTGCTCCAGTCCACCTGCCTTCTTTGCTTCAATAAAGCACTGGAACTGGCTATGCAGAGAGGTGAGGGAATCTCCATCCATGAAGGTTTTTAAGACCCAGCTAGACAAAGCCTTGGCTGAGATGATCTAGTTGGGGATGATCCTGCTTTGAGCAGGGGGTTGGACTAGATGACTTCCTGAGGTCCCTTCCAACCAGCTCAGATATGGGACTGTTCAACCTAGAAAAGAAGATTTTCAGGAGGGATTTGGTGGCAGCTTAAAAATGTATCAGGGGTGAGCATCAAGGGCTAGGCGACCAACTATTCACCAAAGAGCCCCAGGGGAAAACCAGGAGCACGGTCATAAACTCCCAAAAGAAGGTTTCAGTCTGGATATAAGGAAAAACTTCACGGTTCTTGTGACCAGACTCTGGAATAGAATCCCAGTGAGGGCAGTGCAGGCACTTACCCTGGAGATCCTCAAAAGGAGACTGGACACACACCTTGCTGGAGTTATTTGACCCTAGCAGTCTTTCCTGCCTAGAGCAGGGCGGGGCTGGACCTAATGATCTCATGAGGTCCCTTCCAGCCCTAAACTTCTGTGAATCTGTGAAATCCTAATTTTCTATGATTCTATGACTAAGCAGCCTAGACCAGTCTATGGAATCCAGGACTGTCCCAGCCAAACCAGGACATACGGTCATCCTATGTATAAACAACCTGTGGTGGTATAATAAGTGTCTTATATACATATTTGTTTATTCATGACACAGCAATATGGGAAAGCATGGGTCCTCCTAAATGAGTTCCTTCATACCGTGCTGAGAACACCATTGAAGCCAAAGAGCCAGCAGCTGTGCATATGAAGAACTGTTACAGAACTGATGCATGCACACAAATTAGTTATTAATATGCAGCTGTATCCATCTATATCCCTCAAGTCAGAGACCAGTGAAACTTCAAACGATTTACAAACATTTAATTTCGTTTTAACTAATTTTTTTAACTGTAGTACTATGACAGCTTATGTTTTACATATACACATGCACACTGGTTATACAACTGTTATATACAGCAACCTTTATATCCATCCACTAACAATATAGAGACAGTATGATGACACGGTCAGCTTTTTAGCTATGATAACTTCAAGGTGAGAAAAATGAGTGCTTTTAGACAAGTGACTGATGTCTTCAATAATTTAATTGCAAGACATGGCACAGAAATTAGAGTAAGAAGTAGCAAATGTGCCGCCACTCCCTCCAAACTAGTAGTTCACTGAATAAGGATTAAGAAGCTTTAAACTTACATTCGCTTCTGCTTTAACACTCTCAAAGCTTTCTGCTTTACCATATTCTGAAAGAGATGCAACAGACAGATATTAAGCAATATGGCTAAATTTGCTTGAGATACATTAACATTTTCTGCTTTCATTTAAATAATTTTCTAGCTCTGACAAGCCCTTAAGTTACATTGTGAGAAGTGTTCAACATAGTTAAAGCACAAGAAATATTCATTTTGCACCAATCACTATTATTCAAACAGGCATGTGTACACATCAGTGACAAATAAAACAAGTGTTTTTTGTGTGTTCTCTTTGAACAGAACAGAGCACAAGTTAGGAAGCAAATTTCACTGGGTAATACTATTAATAAAGACAGGTTTCAACCAAAAAACACTGTGTACGGTAATGTAGCAACTTTTTTCTTTTAAATGTTTACCCCTTTACCAGTTCATGAGGCTTTTGCTTGATTCAATCATTTACATCAGAAGTAGGAAATCTCTGGCCTATAGGCTAGATGTGGCCTGCAGAGCCATTGGTTTCAACCCAAAGAAAGGGTGCTTAACTCGTGCCACAGCTGGGTATTGTGGAGAAGCGGCAGCCAGTTTCTAGTGCTAGTTTTTTTGGGAGGAGCAAGCTGAAAGCTTCTAGGTTCCTGTTTTCCCTCTGTTCCTCCCCCTAGTCTCATTTGTAGGTTCAACCTTGATGTATACAAATAAAACACACCCTGACCTCTGACAGAGCAAGCCCTCATTTGCCTCACTTAGGAAGCAATGAATCTAACTAAATTTACAGGTCAGGGGTTAATGAGATTCTCTCCTTTCTGTGGTGTGGAAAATGTAATGAAGTCTACAATAACTATGAGAACAGGGGCCAATGATTAGTGCAGAGGAAGAACCATCCTAGCAGCATGTAACTAGGTGGTCAAAGATCTCTTGCCCATGTTCCTCATCTATGAAAGCCTAATGCAGGCCGTAAAACGCAGGGGAAGTTGCTTCTGACTGGGGAACCGCTTTGTTTTCATTTTACACACAGTAACTTTATAAAAGTATAACTCTAAGGACAAACCATTGATATGATACAAGTCTGGGAGATATTCCAAAAGAAAAAAAATAAGCCCATCCTCTGTCAAAGTTACAAGAAGCATTGCTAAGGAGACTTGGAAGAACCTGGAGAACTGGTTATGATACCACTACATTACATGACAGACTAAAAGATGAGTCACTCCTCATGGTGATGCCAGATGGATTCTTCTTACCTTGGCAGGCCCCTCCCTCATTTTCTTCATCTGATCTTTATACTTCACCAGTTCTGCATCAAGCCTAGAAATTTTCTTGTCAATCGACTCGGCTCTGGTATCCACCTTATGTACAAGAAAGGCAAAAAAGAAAAAAAAAGGGTTCTTACTGATGGTTAAGATGATTACCAGGCATTTGGAATAAAGCATGTTCATATATACACAGCTGCTTGTTATCATGTGCAAGCATGCGTACATGTTAAAACGTAGTGTTAGAGTGACATAGCCATAGTGGTCCAAGGGTCCAAGAATTATGCAAGTGGTAAGGATTCCTTAAGGGTGATATCTTTTACTAGACCAACTGTGCAGCTGGGATAGAGTTAGACAAGCTTTTGAATGCAAGACATTCTTCTTCAGGTCTCAGAATGCAGGTGGTCCAATAGAAGATATCGCCCTAAGAAATCCTTGCCTCTGTGTTGAGAACAATTCATGACCAGACATGGATGAGGTTCCTTTCAATGGTATAGACTATTTAAAAAAAATAGACCCTTTTTGTTAACATGTATTGACTTTGTATATTCAGGGTAAAGTCACAAAAAATTTAATATGTAAGCTTTTCATTCTGTGAAATATTACTAGAGTGGAACACAGTCATATAACTATTTTGTTTGAATTGAAATGACACTACATTTGCAAATTCATTTTATATCACAGTATCTGGATGGAGGCAATTTGTCAGGATGTTCATTCTGGTACTTTTATGTTCCTGTAAGACCTCTTTCCTACAATCTCTCACAGCAGTACACTGTTGCCAGAGGCACTTTTCATATAGAGTTGTTGCTATCAGTTCTCTCCACACTAGGGAAGAAATACCTGGTCACAGATGGCACTGAAAAATTTGCAATTAAGCTGTTCACTATGCCATCTGCTTTATTAGTTAAAGGAAATTAAAGCGCATAATGTTTTCAAAGTATTGTACGCTTATGGCATCTTGCACCTTCTGAAGCTTTCCACAAACCAAACACATCTTTTTTACTCAGCTGGCTCCATGGTGGAGTACAGTTACGTAGGCAACTGAATGCCCCCACTGGATAATAAAATAACCATAAGTAGGTCACTAGGACAGCATCTCCTAATCTAACAGAGACTACACATCAGAGATTTTGATGGGCACAAAATGAACAGGAGCTCAGTTTTTAGGTGGTGTCCAAAATATTACTACATTGTCAATTGCCAATTGAGTTGGCTGCACTGGCACCTCAATCTGCAGGTCCACAAACTTCAACAATACATTTAAATTACTGATGTACAACAGAGCTCGCTGTCAAAATTAAATGACAAGTCCTCACTATGGTCAAAAGAGAATCCCAGCTAACATATACAAAGAAACAGGATTTCTTTATTGAATTTAGGATTTGCTCTTTCCTGCTTAAGTGACTGATAAGTATAGGGGTGCTACATTCACTGCCAGAAAAATAATGCGTTAGGAAAGCAGAAACCTTTTTACCATCCCAAACCCCACAAAGTGTAATTGGAGCTGCAGCTAGCAAGGGTAACAAGAAGGGTTTCGACAAGTATGTAAGTAACAAGAGGAAAATCAGGGAAGGTGTGGATCACTTATTGAATGGGGAGGCAACCTAGTGCCAGAGGATACAGAAAAGGCTGAAGTATTCAATGCCTTTTTCACCTCAGTCCTCACAGGCAAGGTCAGGTCCCAGACTACTGCACCTGGCAGCACAGTCTGGGGAGGTGAGCAGCTAACTGTGGCAAAAGAACAGGTCAGGGAGTGTTTTGAAAAGCTGGACATATACAAGTCTATGGAGCCAGATAGGATACACCCAAGGGTGTTGAGGGAGTTGGCTGATGTGACTGCTGAGCCACTGGCCATCATCTTTGAAAACTCATGGCAATCAGGAGAGGTCCTGGATGACTGGAAAAGGGCAAACATAGTGCCCATATTTGAAAAGTGGGGAAAGGAGGATCCAGGGAACTACAGACCAGTCAGCTTCACTTCAGCCCCTGGAAAAATCATGGACCGGATCCTCAAGGAATTCATTTCTAAGCACTTGGAGGAAAGGAAGGTGATTAGGAACAGTCAGCATGGATTTGCCAAGGGCAAGTAATGCCTGACCAACCTGATCACCTTCTATGATGAGATGACTGGCTCTGTGGATGTGGAGAGACCAGTGGATGTGGTGTACCTTGATTTTAGCAAAGGCTTTTGATATAGTTTTCCACAACATTCTCGCAGGCAAGCTAAAGAAAGACAGGCTGGATGAATGAACTGTAAGGTGGATAGAAAACTGGTTGGAGCATCAGGCTCAGAAGGTAGCAGTCAATGGCTTGATGTCTATTTGACCGCCAGTAGCAAGTGGAGTGACTCAGGGTCAGTCCTGGGGCCAGTTTTGTTCAATATCTTCATCTATGATCTGGAAGATGGGATGAATTGCATCCTCAGCAAGTGTGCAGATGACACCAAGCTGTGGGGAGTAGTAGATACACTGGAGGGTGGGGTTAGGATTCAAAAGGACCTAGACAAATTGGAGGATTGAACCAAAAGAAATCTTATGAGGTTCAATAAGGACAAGTGCAAAGCTGTGCACTTAAGACGGAACAATCCCATGCACTGGTACAGGCTGGGGGCTTAGCAGCCGGGCAGCAGCTCTGCAGAAAAGGACCTGAGGGTTACAATGGATGATAAGATGAAGATAAGCCAGCAGTGTGCCCTTGTTGCTAAGAAGAGAATGGTATACTGAGCTACATTGGTAGGTGTGTTGCCAGCAGATCAAGGGAAGTGATAATTCCCCTCTATTCAGCACTGGTGAGGCCACATCTGGAGTACTGTGTCAGTTTTGGGCCCATCACTACAAAAGGAATGTGAACAAATTGGAAAGAGTCCAGCAGAGGGCAATGGAAATGGTGAGGGGGCTGGGGGACATGACTTATAAGGAAAGACTGAGGGAACTGGGCTTACTTAGTCTGGAAAAGAAAAGACTGGGAGGGGATTCAATAGCAGCCTTCAACTACCTGAAGCAGGGTTCGAAGGAGATGGAGCTAGACTGTTCACTGGTAGCAGATGACAGAACAAGAAGCAATGGTTCCAAGTTGAAGCAAGACAGGTTTAGGTTGGATAGAAAAACTATGTCACTAGGAGGGTGGTGAAGCACTGGAACACGTTACTTAGGGAGGCTGCAGAATCTCCATCCTTGGAGGTTTTTATGGCTTGGCTAAACAAAGCCTTGGCTGGGATGATCTAAGTGGGGATGGTCCTGTGTTGAGTAGGGGGTTGGACTAGATGACCTCTTGAGGTCCCTTCTAACCCTAACTTGCTATGATTCCCCAAACCCTAACATACTTTTTATCCCAGTAACATGCATGTGTTTCTTATGCAACAACCCTAACACTCTAGCTGCACTCTTTTGTTCCAAGAGAAGGAATTTGACCACTTACTCCTGCTGCTGGATGCAAAAGTACAATTACCAAACAGAAAGAAGTAAATTAATAGGAATGATTAAAACATCCAATTCAATGGACCCAAATGTCTTTACATTTTTAATACCCATTTATTTGAAGGGCTGCAACACTGATGTTTTAAACGACTGAAATCTAATTGAAGAACCACACACCTCGTGAAGTTCTTTTCCTCAGTATCTCACAGAATAAACAATTCTTGTAAGAACCAGTCCACTATGTGTTACTTGTATTTTAATTGTACTTCAGAATACGAGAATTACTTTGCACTGAACGGATGCTGGCTTAATTCAACCTATCTATAACAAAACAATAACAGGCACGCACAGGCCCTTTTTGACTGAATCTGAACGCCTGTTTAGTCACCCCGTGTTCAGAAAGAAGCTAAGCATTCACAAGAAGGCCACCTGAAAAGGACTCTGCCACCAGTCTGCTTATCCTACAAGCAACAAACAGCAGCAGCAACTGAAAACAGGTACATCAAGGGACTAGCGTACTGTCAGATCAGCCACTCTGAGAATAAGCTAACAGGAAAAGGGATAGAGCAAATCTGTAGTTGCTCCACGCTGCTCTCCCTAGTGCCCTGCTGGGGCAAAACTACAAGCCAAAGCACCATCTCTCCAGCCTTCACGCAAGGCCTACGGTTCCCCTGCTATCACCCTATCGCAAGAAGGAGCTGGGCAGTGTCACCAGGTGTATGACATTGTATTTGTACAATAATGTCAACCCTTGTATGACATACAGCCAATAATAGTAAAAGTGTTCAAAACAGCCGATAATTTGGAGGAAACCAGCTGACGCACCATACGCAAAACCCAAGTCACTCTCAAGAGTTGTAGCCGACTTTTGTGTTGTGTTGTTTGTGTTTTTTTATTATTATTATTTAACTTGTTTCCACGGCCAAATTAGCCGAAACTAATTCCAAATCCAAGGCTCCAGAACCATAAATGTCAGCGTACGATAGTTTTCCAGGAAATACGGTAATTTCGAACTTCCAACGCGGTCATCGCGGATTGCGTACCCCGCAACGCTGGCGCGGGGCAGGCAGCAGAACAGCTCCGCGAGCTCTGTGGAAGCAGTGAGCCGCCCCCCGGCGGCTGGCGATGCTCCCGCCCCGGCCGGGGCAGAGGAGCGAGCCGAGACACCTGCAGGGGGCGCGCTCAGCCCAGCCCCGCGCAGC